TGGTGAAGTCCTCTGGAAATCTTCAATAATTGTTGTTGATTGCAGATGTCTCTAGTAGTTCCCATTGATTTAGCTGTAAAGCGGGGAGAATGGCGCTAGGCTTACCGCACCGTGACGTCACTGTGAGGTAGATGTCAGGAGGGAAGGGTTATGTATTTGGGCAAAAATGGCCGCTCCCAGACTCTGTGATCATACCGAAAATGATTGCTTTTATTTTTTCACTGATTATTGCTACATTTATTAAATCACCGCAAACGAATTAGTGTTAGGTATAAATCATGATTCATTGATTATTCTTTGTTTACCAGACTTTTCCTTTAAAGCCTCAAACTCAGGATCCTTTTATTTGAAATTGCCTTTTACTCTAAAAGTGTTGCATTTCTAAGCCCTTTTATTTGGTTTTATCTTTGTTGTCATTGTGCTCCTTCCATTGGGGGGTGCACCCTGTTTGTCTCTTTAAGGTAAATGGATTAAAAAGTCCAGCTTAGAGGTTTATGGTGTTTCAAGTTTGCATGGAGGCACACCCAATGGAACAGACTTGTTTGTCTCCTTTCTATGGCCGGCCCCAATAAAACCGTCTAGTTTTGAACACACAGCTAATCTGTCAATAAGCAAACATCAGAGAAATCTTCCCAAAATGACATAAAGCCTCTCTCGTCTCGGTAGGTTAAAACTGCATTCATAATATAATATAGCCGTACCTTTACAGCGACCAGCATCTTATCCTTAGTTGGACTGAGGTTGTAACATTCAGCCAAGAAGACCTTCCCAAAGGCACCTTCTCCCAGCTCTCTCTTCAGAATAATGTCTCGACGTTTAATATGTTGAACGTCTAAGAAAAAACGAGAGACGAACAGATTCTAAAACATATTTCATTTCTGATATAAAAGCTGTTGCCATGTCATCTGAGACAGGGAGACTTTAAATAACAGATTTTATTTCAAAAACTGCACCACTGAAGCATCTCCATTTTGATATGTGGTTGGAACAATTGGTAAGAACAGACAAAAAAAAGGTTTTTATGTTTTGAAGTCAAATTCAAGTTGCTGCAGCGGAAGCAGCTGATTCAAAAAGGAAAAACATATTTTTTTTGATATCAGGAATACTAGTACATATCAAAACGGCTTGCCATAGAGGTTGTTACCGTGAAAATATTACGTGATTATTTCTTGAAAGGCAGGAGATCAATGTAGTACATTATTAAGGGGACATCATGTGTTACCAGGTGAGGATGAATAATAAATTCACACTGATAGTGATGAGCTACATTGTAGCCACAGCTATCCTGGGGCACGCTGACAGGAGGGAGGCAGCCATAACCCCACATTCCCAACATTAGAAAGTGAAGGACAGGAACTTCTGCCTCTTTATGGATTAATTGGGATCAAATATTGCTGCTAGCAGAACAATCACGTTTAGAGAGTTTGCTGTTAAATTAAATTGTTTCACATATGTTCTAATTATTATTTTTTTATTACAGATTTTGTATTTTTAACTAGTTTTTTCACATTTCTCTTTTTTTTAGAGTTTTAACAATTGCTTTCTTTTAACTTTAGTGATCTGTAATGAGCAATTTAAACAGAACACAATTACAATCATAAAAAAAAAAAAATATAAGAAAACAGCAGAGTTACTCTCAACTCATTTTATGATCAAAACATTTTAAAAGGTTTGATTTCTGGTTTGCATTTTTCTTTCCAATTTATAAAACATTACACAACTACAGTACACTGCCGTCATTCACACTGATAGTGGTGGGCTACATTGTAGCCACAGCTATTGTGGGGCACGCTGACTGGAGGGAGGCAGCCATACCCCCACATTCCCGTCATTACAAGAGGATGTGGGTGAAGGACAGATGGAGCTGGGGTTTCAAACCAGCGACCCTCTAATGAAAGAAGAACTTCGGCCTGTTTATTATAGTAAATAGTGCCGCTAAGAAAAGAACAGGCAAGTTTAGAGAGAGACTTTGTTGTCAAATCATCAGATTTTTTTTCTAAATATTTGTCTCATATATTCTCATCTTGTTTTTTTATATTTTATATTTCAAATTTGTTTTTTTCACATTTCTCTTTTTTAAACCAAGTTTTGACAATGGCTTTCTTTTCTAACTTTACAGATCAGTTGTTTTATTTTAAGGCCATTACGAAAAGGCTCACTCATGACAAGCATATTGACCAATAAACATTATGCTAACATCCGTGCGGACCAATGGAAATGCTTCCTACTCCAGAGGAGTGAACTTCTTGCTGTGAGGTAATGGTGCTAACCACCAGACCACCGTGAGTTAAGAACCTCCACTCACTAATTCTTGCTCTTGCTGACCAATTCTCTCAAACATCTGCAGCTGCTCTCCGGTCTCTCTGGTTCCCATTCCTGCTGAATCCACCCCCCCCTCACACACAAACTTCTTCCCCACTAAAACTGAATTAAAAGTTTAATTAAATTCTGTCAAGACTTGATTCTGTTTCCTAGCTCTGGTTTCTGTGTGGGTCAGAGAGTATTTCTATTAGTATGTCAGACATGGCCTTACTCACAGGTGGTTGGCTTTGTGCAGTTGTGTCCATGTCTAAAGTACTGTGGGTTCTCTATGATGGGGATCCTGGACATCCCAATCACCACAGAATCTAACCCAACATCCAGAGCACAGGGGCTTATAACGCCGTTATTTACATGGTGGAGGGGACTAGCAGAGTTTTCTTCACCACTCATCGCTGCTCCTGGACCTGGAAAGAAACAGAGAAAAGTTTTAGAAAATATAAGATTAAAAGACAGCAGAAGCTTTTTTTATAAATGTGGTTTTATCTACTCAGGTGCCTACAAGCCTTGTTTATTGTGTGCTGTTCACACGAAACTACGTAGTGATACATAAGGATCAGGAAATTGGACTAAAATATTAAGCTGATTACTCAATTTCCCCCCCAGTGGTAAACTTTTTAATTTCTTTTCTTTTTGCATTTGAAAGAAGGAACACTCAGTGTCAGCTAATCAGTTCAAGACGCCTGAACAGTGATGATAACAAAAGAGAATAAAAATGGATGAGAAGAATCATCCTAACTGATCTAAACCAAAAATCTACTGCAAACAATTGAAATCTAAATTAGTCGTTTTTTCTTAAAATAAGGGATTTTGTTTGTTGATTTGAGCGTTTAAGTGAGAGATTTTGCCAATGGAAAAAAAAAACATTTGTATCATCTTACTTTGGAAATGTTAGGGTTCTGGTGTGTGTGAGTGTGAGTGATGCATCTTTTCCTGAAAGGATCTTGGTGGACTACCTGGGCTGCTACACAGGTGGAGCCTGTCAGTTTCATCAAAGTGCTGGGATTTAACGTGCAGCAGAGCGTTTACTCAGCGCAGGATGATTTATATTCACCGGTAGTGTTTCAGGCCATCTGTTGTTGAACCCTTTCTAGTAGTTTGATTATCTCATGTGAACTTAACTGAAGTAGCTCAATCCCTGTGCTTGCTCTCTCTAGGTTTTTCTCTCGCTTGGTTTCAAGAGGATTCAGTTCACCGACTCACCGCCAGTGCATTTATCACCTCCCTGCCCGCTCCACCATTCATCATTTCCAACCTGGCTCCATCACACTCCTGGAACTCTGTATTCCAACTATAAGAGGTAAACCATAAACCTCCCCCCATGGGGGCCCAGCCCATCTTCCCTCCACACCCAGTTCAGAGTATTTTGAAGTAAGCTCTTTTTTTCAATTTCTTATCAAAGGTTTCTGGTCACAATTAATTCCTCTCTCATTCCAGACGCAATTGTTCACAGAACTGTCTGTTTCTCATCGTTTTGTAAATAAATCTTTTTTCCAAATTTTAAACTGAGTTGATTCTGCATGTGGGTCAGAAGATTAAATCCGAAAATGCGAGGAAAATCATCTTACCTGCTCAAATTAAGGGTAAATACATGTAATTTAAGAAATGTTTACTCTTTTCTGGATCAGTCTCATTTCATGTCAGGCTGAAAATCAAAGGTTTTCTGTTTCTCGGGAGCAGAAGCTCTTTGTGCTGCATTTTCAAAGAGTCGGTAAACAGTTTATTATTCTCACATTATTCTAATGTGTTTGTACAATTATGATGCTCTTGGTGAGGTGCCTTGTGATTTTGTCTATGCTTCTTTTTCTATCTCTGCTTCTGTCTCCTTGAACCCCAGTCAGCCTCAGCAGATGGCCGCTCACACTGAGCCTGGTTCTGCTGGAGGTTTTTTCCTGTTCAAAGGGAGTTTTCCCTCCCCACTGTCACTACATGCTTGGTGTGAGGGTTTGCTAATGAGAATTCGATGCAATCAGCTGGTTTCCCTTAGATAGCTTTGAATCAATCTAACTGGATGATCTGGTTGAACTGTAAAGTGACCTGAGATGACATGATGTGAATTGGAGCTATACAAATAAACTGATCGAAATTAATCTATTTTTATAGATTACTGTTCTTTATTTAGTGACTTACGGCCATTAAATATGCATTCAGACTGAGAAATGCATGACCTTCTTACCTTTAATGATGAGTTTAGATTGTCGTCCGTATTTGTTGATGAGAACAAACAGAACCACGAGGACGACGCAGGCAAACGCTGCCAGCCCTACCGCCATGGAGACCTGCAGAAAAGATTATTATATTTCTGAAGCATTTAAAACAGGACACCTGATATCTGTCTTACTTTATATATTCATAGAGGACTTGAACACAATCCCAGCTGCGACTAAGAGAATATTAAAAAACAAAAACCCTTTTAAACATAAAACAATGAAAGGACATTAAGAACAAAACAAAAAGAACTGTAGCAAATCCTTAAAAGTAAAAATGGGGGATTATGCCATAATCTGGAAGGCTCTGTCCCATCCAGCAGCAGCTGATCAGCCGACCTGAGCTCATTAAGCTGCAGAAACTTTGTGAATTTATCCTCCATGTTTTCAGAGGGATTCTGTTTAAGGGCGCTCTTGACTATATGGCTCAATAAGGAAGGTTTATAATAAAAATTAATCTTACTTTTAAAAAAAAGGAGGCAATTCGGTACGTAAACGGGACAGAAAGGATTCAGAAAACCTTTATTCTTATCAAACCCCTTTTGTGTTTACTCAGGTTGTTGTGCAGAAATTAAATGTGTCATGATCTATAACATTTAAATTACAGATTCTGATTTTGTATATGTTCAGTATTTTGATTTGCATAAATTAGTTCGAAATATCAAGCAGCTTTTCTGATTTTAATTTGGACTATGACCAATCACCCATTACCAGATGAAGGTAGGAACCAGAGCCCCTCCCAGCCCCAGCAGGGAAAAGCATGATGGGAAATGGATGGATTGTTGTTTAGAGCTATTAGATATAAAACCTCCAACCTTTATTCAACCAAGTATCTATAAAAGATTTTAAATTGTTTATGTTCTAAAGAAACAAACGGGAGATAACCACAGTTTTTATAAAAAAATTCTATCTTGAGAAAAAAAATATTGAAAGTTAGATTATACTGCAGTAACTCACCCCAAAAGGATCTTCCAAAGGTTTGCGAGTCTCTGCAGTCGGAGTGTCTGTGAAAAAAACTAAACAAAGTTTACTTCTCAGTATAACAGTAGTTTAACACCAAAATAGAGTAGTAGTAATAGATCTTAAAGAATCTGTTCTACTTCATCTCCTCAACACGGAACAATACTGCAGAGAAACAACTTGGCTACTTCCTCTTTGCTCTCTGCTGTAGTCAACACAGCCCCTTTGAAAAGGAAGAACTTTAATAATAGGGAGGTGGCTGGCTGGTTTAATTTAGAGCTGCTTAATGAAGCATGATGTTAGGGAACGAGAGAGAAAGTGGCGCTCTACATCTAGTACTTAATCCAGAAAAACCTTTACTGCTGAATAAGAGGGTCCTTCGTATAACCAGAGAAGCATATTTCTCCTCAATAATAGAGGAGAATCAGAATAATCCTAGATTTCTTTTTAATCCAGTTGCTAAACTCACCCAGAGCCATAGCTCTGTTGAACCGTCCATTCCACCTGTTCTTAGCAGCAATGATTTTATGGGATTCTTTATAAATAAGATTGATCTTATTAAGAATAAAATCATTAACACTCCTCTATCTACGATTGGTTTATCTCTGGAGGGTGGGGCAGCATCTGAGGTAGCCAAAGAATCTGAACCGGGTTTGGACTGTTTTGATCCAGTTGAACTTTCAGAGTTAGCAAAACAATTGTCTTCATCTAAGCCTTCAACTTGGATGTTAGATCCAGTTCCAACCAGGTTATTTTAAGGAGGTATTCCCTTTGATCTCCTCCTCCACTTTAGATGTGATTAATCTATCTCTGTTACAGGGATATGTACCTAAAGCTTTTAAGGTTGCTGGAATTAAACCTCTGCTTAAGAAACCGTCTCTTGACTCAGATGAATTGGTCAATTATAGACCTATATCCAATCTTCCTTTCTGATCTAAAATTCTTGAGAAAGTAGTTGCCAAACAAGTGTGCGATCACTTCCACCATAATGAACTTTTAGAAGAGTTTGTCTGGCTTTAGAGCTCATCATAGCACTGAAACAGCTCTGGTGAAAGTCACTAATGATATTCTCATGGCCTGAACTGCCAGGAAGCCACTCCCCTCTGCCAATCTCATGTGCTGCTTCTTTCTGCTCTGCCTGCTGGAGATGGGAACCAGGTGAACTCAATCTCTGGCAATCAAAGAGTGTACTTTTGGTGTGGCTGATCTCACTCTTGTTTGAGGAAGTAGCACAGCATGCAAGCCAAACAGTGGTGGTAGAACATGCAAAGTCCAAACCGTGCAAAAAGTTGCTGATTACAATTGCTCATTCACATGGACTGACTGTGTTTAATATTATTAAAAGAGAAAAAAATACACTTGGTGTTTATTAGTTAAAACAGAAAAAAATTGTTGATAAAAATGCTAATTTATCAATTGCTGTTTAATTTTATTGTAAAATAGCTAAGTTTATTATTATTCAGGAATAAATTATTTAAACTGGTGGAAATTTCTGTCTCTTCTCAGGGTTTTCGCCTGTGTGATCGAAGGAAAATCATGACCATCATAATAAAGATGACTAAAATGAAGTCTCCTTGAGTAAACGCCAGTTATGTTTCACAGAAGAGACTTGCCTTTCAAGTGGGGATTGCACATCTAAAGATCAAACCTAAATGGAAAACTTGACAGTACTTGTCCTGTTAAGCCGGGCGTACACTGTACGATTTTTTTTTGTCTATTCTCAGGTCAATTGAATTTTTACGATCAGGCCGACTTTTAGCCTGATGGTGTGTGGTGTAGTGTACGGGGGGTAACGAAGGGCGATCAGCCTATAACGGCCACCTCCCCATCAGGAATCGTAAGGTCAGGAGAAAATCAAACATGTTTGAAATTCAGTCGGGCATCGTAAGGTGGTCGTGGGCAAATCGCTCAGTCGGCAAACAAGGATTCTTCTTCTTCTTCCACTCACAGGAAAACCCAGCAGCATGGTGGGGGTGCAATGAGTGAAATTGAGTTTTTTCTGTTAAACTGACACACTGTAGTAGCCACGTTTGCTCAGCCATGTCTTTGTCCAAATACGTCGTCACCTTTTGCTTCAAAATTGCCCAAATAGCCAAGGCAGCGCGTTTCACTCTAGTGAGCGTCATATTCCTCTCCTACTTGTTGGGCTTCGGGATAGATGAGTCCGAGTAGCGCCATCTCACTGTGGAGCTGAGTCCCACCTGGTTTTTAGACGTACAGTGTGAGACCATACATCATGAGCTGTGAACTCGCACTGTACGATGAAACCCTGCAGTCTGGACCTGTAGCTGTGAAAAAAATTGTTCAGTGTATGCCCGGCTTAAGAGATCTCAGTGCTGCATTTGATATAGTTGGCCCTAATATTATTTTAGAAAGACTTGAATATTTTGTAGGAATTAAAGGGACAGCACTAGACTGGTTTAAATCGTATCTATCTGACCATTTTCAATTCAGTTAAATTTTATAGCGCCAATTCACAACACACGTCATCTCAAGGCACTTTACAATTCAACCAGATCATCCAGTCAGATTGATTCAGTTTTCTGTCTAAGGAAAACCAGCTGATTGCATCGACTCATTGACTCTTAAGCAATCCCTCATACTAAGCATGCTTGTAGCGACAGTGGAGAAGCTGGAATATTGTAATTCTTTGCTATGAGGAAGTCTACAAACTGTAGTTAAAAGCTGCTCAAACAAGCTGCAGGACCTGATGTGCATTGATGAGCATCAGCCATTGACTTTGCATGTAAACCAGCTGCTTCTGCTGCCTCTAGCATGTGCGGTCTGAACGTAGCATTTGTCAGGACTCTGGCTGGGCTTCTCCAAAAATATAAAGTTACAGAAAACTGTTATGATTGAGTCTAATTAAATAAGCTGCTCTAAGCAGATATGCATCTTAGAGAAGATGATTAAAGGCAGAACAGTTCTTAAAAGCCTAGTTTGAACATATAACTATAACATATGAACTGCAGAACTTAACCTACTAGACATGCAAACCTTTCCCTTACAGTATAGCTCAGACGTAATGAAATCTGTGCTAAAAGCGTCCAGTAGGATTCAAATAAAAACCCACTTACCATATTCATTATCCAAATCTATTGAAGGAGCAAACAGAGAAGACAAATGCAAACTGTAAGGCAATGTACAGATAGTACAAATATTCCAAAAGTTTCTAACAAGAAAACAAACAAAATGTTTAAGTATAACAAATCAGATTGGAAAAAATCTGTCTTCATCAACTAACATAGAAATATATAGTATATCATCTTTCATAGAGGTGATTGATTTAATATCACAAAAATAATTTCTATAAACTTTTATCTTTTTACTTTAGAAGATGGATTTTGCTGAGTGAAGTGTTTGGTGAAAACAGCCTCTTCACTGTGATGAAGCTGTATCTGCTGATGTGACACCAAGTGGTTCTTTTACAACCAGATGAAATCCACTAAAGTTATTTAATGACACACCTTTGGTTAATATAAAACCGTTTAACTTCATTTATCGATACTAATGTAATGGAAAATGCTGGTGAAGATTCTCATTCATCCAGATCATAGTCATTTCAAAAAAGTTAAAATCAATCCACTGGACTTTATTTCCCAGTGTGAAGACGTTTCTCTTCCATCCAGGAAGCTTTTTCAATTCAAAATGCCAGAAATAGCGTTGAGTTCCAGGTTTTATACAGTAGCCCAATAAAACCTTGTTTTGGTTTAGAAAACATGCAGATAGAAACAGACGAACGGGTCCACCCCTAAGGAAGATGTCAGGAGGGAGGTGTTACTATATTTGGGCAAAAATGGCCGCTCCCAGACTCGGTGATCACCATGAAAATTATTGTTTTTATTTTTTTACTGATTGACGCTAAATTCATTAAATCATAGTGAACATAATCAGTTTTAGGTATAAATAATGATCCAGTGATTATTCCTCGCTGACCATATTTTTCCTTTAAAAGTCTATTTTCACTGCCACTTGGCAAACATTCATAGAAACTGCAGAGTTTCTGATGTCTGGAAAAGGCAGAAAGGAAAAGGACTATATGGTCTGTGTTCTATGGAGCCTCCCTGCTATAATAACTAATATCAGCCTGCATGAGGTGTGGACCACAGCTTACCAGGAGGGGGCGTTTCAAGGAAGTGTCCATACACCGTCCTGGTGACCACGCCCAGAGAGTTGTTGGCTTCCAGAGTGTAGTTGCCGTTGTTGTAGTGCGTTGGGTTTTTAAAAAGAAGGCAGCCCTCTAGGTCGTCACGGTAAATATCCATATCAAGGCGAATGTACTCATTGTGGGTTATTTCCTGAAACGGTACAATAGAACAGCAATATCCTTTATTTTCCCATCCCAGGAAGGCAGCAAATAGAAGTACTCAGATGCTCACACAGATATAGCAATAATAGAATGAAGCAAGTAGTAATTATGTATGACAGCATAATCAGAATCTAGGAAGTATGTAGAAATCAGCAGGTTGTCTGTTCACTTCAGGATTTCTAAGCAGGAGGAACGAGCTCTCTCAGATGTAGAGTTTCATCTCAGTAGAGTGAACCATTTTGATTTTTAATGAAAGGACAACGATATGATAGTTTTTTATTATTTTTATTATCCCATTTTCCCCTGATGCCTCACTGGCAGCTGCGTGGCCTCTGCCCCCCAGCGGCTGCATGTCTGGTGACATCATCACACAGGGTTAGCATTGATGATGTCACCAGTGCAACAGAAATCAGGAAAGTAAATGATAAAGAGCAACATGGTAGGAAGCCAGGGCGTAGTCAGTGAGCTTTATTGATTCTCTCTATAATCTGTCTGAATCCCTCTTATCAGAGCTGCTCCATGTTTATCGTGTTTCTGCTTGTTAGATCAGAAGCGACTGGCGCTGTGTGTTGATGTCCGTACGTTGCGTTCAATGGTATCACGTAATTTAGTGGGTCGACCCCGTTCTGGTGTTTCCACTGCATGCCGATTAGAGCCGAGGTGATTTTAACAGGGTTTGCTTGCTGAGTCAATTAACCCGGGTAGAAATCAGTGAGCATCAGTGAGCTGTTCCCACTGCCACTAAAAGGCGATTGTAAACGGGCTTTTAACCCTGTAACCCCAAATGTATCATATTTTATACATACGGTTTCTGAAATGTTTTGCGTCTGACACCTTCTGCATATTTTAATGGTAAAAACTTTGCTCAAAATCCTATTGTACACAATCAGATATACCTGATAACAGAGGGCAGAACACTACACAAAAAATAATCTTGACTTATCGCATAGTAATAAATTATTAATATCAAAAATGTATTTCTGTTTTTTCTTTTTACATATTTTGTTAAAAGGCCAAATAAGGACTTCAAACCAAAAAAAAAGTAATTTTCCGTTTTATTCTTGGATCGGGCTTTAAAGGGTTAAGCCAGTTGGAAAGGGGTATTACACACATGAATATTTCGCACAGACGGTGGGACTTGCCATTCGCCTCGTTACAATCGCACCCACCTCTGCTTTGCAGCGCTCCAGAGTCCTAACCCTAACCCTCAACAATAGAGAAAATGTGAAAAGTTCACTGTAGATGAAATATTAACATTCATTATGAATGCATCTTGAGATCTTTGGTTTAAAGGGTCTATGTTTTGCAAAACCAACCTTTTACAGCTTTTATATATGTTGTTATGCTTTTCCCACATCAAAATCAGGCTCAAATGCCTGTTTCTCTTGATCCATGAATGTCCAAAGTCATTCCTAGAGGGCCGCTGTTCTGCACGTTTTTGAGGTTTTCTGCTTCAGCACAGTCTAGCAAAAGCCTGTTAATCAGGTATCGATGGAAATCAGCTGTGCTGAAAGAAGGAAACCTCTAAAACCTGCGGGACAAACGTCCTCCAGGACTGACTTTAGTCATACCTGCTCTAGATCCATGTGTGTCTGAACAATCCTTAATGAATTCTACTTTCTAAGCAGAGGTGGAACCAGAAAATCCTAATAGGGGTGGCCAGTTAATAACCAATGTACATTGAGGGGTGGCCGAAAGGCACCAGAACCTCAGGGTCAATCTACACTGTTTCAACAGGAATGAGCACAACATTCATAATTTCAAATTTTAAAAACAAGAGAAACTATACTTTCCTGCAGCCTTTGTTAACAAATAGACATATATATTTAAACATCTATGCTGTGTAAATAAAAGGTACAGTGGAAAAAAATTCTTTCATGTTTGAGTTCTGGGGCGAACACATTTTACATTGTCATTACCTACTTTTATCAATAATCATTCTGCAAAAAAATGGTATTTAAATCTACTAATATCCACAATTAAGGAATTTTTAAGTTATTATCAAAGTAGTTATTAATCTATGATTTCACTGAAGACTCCTAGATGACTTGCAGAGGCATATCATTTTATCTTTACCCCAAATAATTCAAAATTTAGTTCTGAAAAGAGCATGAATTCTGTATCGATCAGCTTTAATGTTTGTAAATTTATGTGATTAATTAATCACACTGTTTCTGTTGCCAAGTTGTTATTATTGGAAAAATAAAATTTCCAATAAGTTTTAACAAACCCCTTCAGAGTATTACTACTGCCACCGTCTGTGTTAGAGGGAAAAAATGGTAAGGGTGGCCACAGGGGTGGCCAATGATTGGCTAAGGGTGGCCATGGCCACCCATCTAGCTCCGCCCCTGTTTCTAAGCAACAGTCCCACCCTGCCAGGTATATAAAAAGCAATGTATTGAAGGCGAGTGGCTTTTTTCCAGATTGAAAGAAAACTACAAATATTTAATAAAAAATGAAACCTCTATACTGCCAGAGTTGATATTTTATATACGTCTATTTAGTTGGCTTTGAATAGTTTAAATATAGTAATAAAGATATGAAAATTAAACAGAAAAACTACAGGAACTATACTATCCATCCATCTCAGGCTGGATCCAGGTTGGAACTAAGCCTGGAAGTCAACTCCTTCTGGAGGTCTTCAGGGCATTTTGTTGCTAAAAGGAAAACATCTTGTTCTCCATCAGTGTGCGTCATTAACAAGAACAATGGCTAAGGTCTAAGATGGAGGATAGTTTTGTTGCAATAAGTTCTCCCACACCTTATTGTCATGGAACCATCTTAAACTGGGACGGGGTGAACCCCGAACAGTAAACTCTATACATGTGTCATGGCGGCGTTCTGGCTCCTTCAGCTTCACAATGGAAGGCGGAACTAAAGAGACAGAGAAAAGAAGACAAGTATTAAACGGAGGCCTTAGAGGTCACTAAGGCTACGTTCACCCTGCAGCCTGAAGTGGCCCAAATCCACATTTTTTGCTCATATGCGACCTGGATCTGATATTTTCATGACAGTCTGAACAACACAGATCCAGTTTTTTCCATAACGATCCAGGCTACGTGGCTCTGTGGTCCTGAATCCGATACGAATCTGATCTTTTCTTATGAGACCTGTGTCTGAACGGCCATGGCAGGCGATAATGTGGAGAACAGTCTTCATTTTCAGCCACCTTGAAAAGATTGTGTTGTTGATGCACTGGCCGAGGTTTACTACCATCCATGTTTACTTCCCTAAACACAGAGCATGCTGGCTACTTGTGACATCATGGTGCATATGGGACACTTAAGCTGCCTGAATGCAGTTCAAACAGGAGATCACATAAGAGTTGCATATATTTGGAAATGTGAACAGCAACGCAGGAGAATCGATTTCACAGAAAAGTCGGAATGGAGCATCAAGGCCTGCGGTGTGAAGGTAGTCTTAGACTAACGGTGTGCTGGAAAGCAAAGTCTCTTAGTGTCAATATGAGAAAATGCTTGGAAAGGATCTGAAATATTTAAACTAAAAAACCTCTAAAAATCCAATCTTTACCGTTTTAAGTTGAACAGTTGTAGCTTGTTGAGCGTCCAGCTAGTAAAAGTAATTATTTCAGGTTCCAAAGGATTTTCCTCCACAAGGTTTCAACTAACAAAAGTCTGTACTTCAGGGGGATTAATTTAGTAAAATATTACAAACTATATGTGATTAATAAGAGTTTTTGATTAATTTATAAAATCTTTATCATGTGACGAATCAACCTTCCAACACTTTGTCCTCAGTAAGTTGAGGTGGAGCTGCTCTGGTTGGTGTTTGTGTGAACTTACAGTGAACGGTGAGGTTAACGATGGCTGTTGCCAAGCCTACAATGTTGGTAGCGGTGCAAGTTAGCTGGAAATTGTTGTCCTCCCTGCTGACATTGACCAGGGTTATGCTGATGGAGTGAACGCTGTTGTTATAGATAGTAGCCTGGAGGGACAGCAGAAAACAGGCCTGATGAGTTACTTCAAAAACTTTAATACCTCGTCTTTGATTGGTGCATATTCCTCCGTATGATGTTTCTCCGTTGTGACAAAGTGGATTTACTAGCTTAAGTA